AGAATGTTGAAGGAAGTGACATTGACCAAGATATATTGCATTCATGAACTGCTTTGTTAAGTGGCAACTCTTTTGTACAACTACTAAGACATACTAAAAGCAAATAAATAAAAAGTTCATACAGAAACACACACACACACATGCACGCAAGCGCGCGTGCGCGCACACACACACACACACACACACACACACACACACACAGGTTTCCTGTAGCCAGAATTTACATGATTGTACATAGTGGAAGGGCCCCAGAATCTTAACTAGTAGGGAAGTTGACAAAGAATCACCTGACCCAAGTTTTAAGGCCAGATGGGGCATCATAGTGAGACCTGTTTTTTTTCCTTTTTAAATTACATCATTGTGTTCTTCTTTTAACTCAACATGCTAATATCCTTCAAGAACTTTAGTATATATTTTAATATGCCCTAATATATTCAATTGGTAAGATATCCTAATATATTCAATTGTTTTCAAGTTATACATTCCTAAAATGAAATATAACTTGGAATTATATTAAAAATTTCTTCTGATAGTAAAGAAAATATTTTTTTCTTTTCATTGAATGTTCATAACACTACAGTAATTACTGGTGATTGCTCAAAAGAACATACACTATATATTTTATAAATAAATAAAAAAGCAAAATTTTTATTAGAAGGTGTATTTTAATTAGATCTAATTTTCAATTACTGAAGATATCTCAGTATTGCTAGATTATAGACAAATTATTGCATCAGTTTTAAAATTTTATATATTATATGATTTCATATTTTATATATCAACTCTTTTTTTAGAAAACTTGGTCACATACATAAATAGTGATGGAAAGTATTTTTATGGAACGATCACTCATTTCTATGAACTCCTTTTGAATTATTTGTCAAAACAGAATGATCAATCACCAAAAATACTTTGCCAATCTGGCTGTTGTTAATTTGAGAAGTTCTTCTTTTAAAGTGCATTAGGGATCTGGTATGGTTCCTAAATGACTGAAGTAATTTCCTTGTCCCACACTACATGTTTTCAGTTTGCTTTTTCTTGGCACCATATTTTCTTTTTTAAAAAATTATATTTTTTATCGTAAAACACTGTTATCCACTCCCTCATTTTCTCCCAATTACTGCTCCCCAGGTCTCTCCCCTCCAGGTTCTAACATAGTGTCTAGTGAGTATCATTGTTGCATTAGTTCATCCTTTGTCTTGCTCTTTCTGTGATTCCCTTTCCCTTCCATGGATCAGATAGGCATATATATATATATATATATATATGTATATATATATATACATATATATATATATATATGACAAATGGTACAGAAAACAAAAACAGAAAGAAAAAATAGAAATAATTGCATACAGGACACAAAAGGAAACTCTTGTTTCCAATTCTTGGAGTTCATGTTGATATGCTTCATCATGTAGGGTCCTATGCACTTAGTGATTGGGCTATTGTGAGCCCCTGCTAAGAAATTCATAGACATCTTCTAATTATTACAAATGAGGGAAACCATCCAATCTGTATTTCTTTGGGCCTGGCTTGCTTCACAATATAGTTTTTTCTAGGTCTTTCTACTTCTTTATGAATGGGACAATGCCATTCTTTCTGATGATGGCATAGAACTCCATTGTGTATATATACCACCTCTTGTTGATCTATTCATCTACTGTGGGGCATCTGGGTTGGTCCATATCTTAGCTATAGTAAATAATCTGCAGTGAACATAGTTGTGATGGTAGCTTTCTGGTCATTGGGTAAATTCCGAGTAGTGGGATTGCTGGGTCATGGGATAGCTCTTATGTTTAGTATTTTGAAGAAACTCCATGCTGCTTTCAAGAATAGTTGAACAAATTTACACTTCCACCAACAATTAGTAGGGTCCCCTTTTGCCCAATTCCCCTCCAGCATCTGCTGTTAAAATTCGATTTCTTGATTATTGCCATTCTAACTGGGGAAAGGTGTAATCTTATTGTTGTTTTGATTTGCATTTCTTTTATGGAAGAGCTGTTAGGCATTTCTTCATGTGTGTATTGGCCATTCTTATTTCCTCTTCAGAGAAGTCTCTCTTTAAGTCTTTAGCCCATTTATTAATGGAGTGGTTGTTTCCTAGAGAATTTGATTTGGGGAATTTAATTTTTTGAACTTTAAGTATATTTTATATATAAGACCCTTATTGGTTGTGTGGCTAGTGAAGATCTTCTCCCAATCTGTGGGCTTTTTATCTTGCTAGCTATGTCCTTTGCTATGAAGAAGCTCTGCTTCTTTGATTTGTTGTGTTTTTGCGTCTTTAAGAAAGTTTTGACCTGTTGGCACCATATTGTCAGACTCCAAAGTAATGGTACTCTTTCCAAATTATGGATATGAAAGATATGCCTTCCTTTGTTAGATGAGAGAAATAAAATTTTGAAAGCAGAGCTTGTTTATGAAGATAAAAGGTTAAGGATGAAGGTATATTATTTACATATATGTAGGTATTGCAAAGAAGCCCCATTTGACAGCTAAGAGATGGTAATAAATAAAATAGTAGAAGTTTGAGGTCTTTTAGAAAGCACATATAAGGAAAAATATTTATTTATTTATTTATTTTATTATGAAAATACCGTACAGAGGGGTTACAATTACATGAGCAAGGTAATGAGTACATTTCTTATCAAGCATTGTTGCCTCTTCCCTTATCAAGCATTGTTTCCCTTTCCATCCCTTCCCATCTACCCCTCCATCCTCCCTCCCCACCGCCCACCTCTTCCTGCGCCAAAGTTGTAAAGTTCGTTTTTTGACAAAAATCTTAAAACTGGTTCTCTTAAAATCTCGCTGACACCTGTCTTTGCATAACATGGAGATATTTATAAAGTGTTGTTAAAAGGAAATAGTATTCTTCAAGTATCATCACTTGAAAAAAATCACAATAGTATTAATATAGTCTGTTGTAGAGCTTAAACTCTGGCCTGGGCACTGTCCCTGAGTTCTCCAGCTTAAGGCAAGCACTCTACACTTGAGCCACAGCGCCACTTCTAGTTTTCTGGTGGTTAATTGCCTTCCCTGCCTGGGCTGGCTTTGAACCGTGATACTCAGATATCAGACTCCTGAGTAGTTAGGATTACAGGCATAAGCCACCGGTGCCCAGCCTAGCAGCATCCTTGTGTGTGTGTGTGTGTGTTGGTCATGGGGCCTGAACTGCGGGCCTGGGCACTGTCCCTCAGTTCTTCAGCTCAAGGCTAGTGCTCTACCACTTGAGCCAAAGCTCCACATCCGGCTTTTTCTGCTTATGTGGTGCTGAGGAATCAAACCCAGGGCCTCATGCATGCAAGGCAAGCACTGAGCCACCTTCCCAGCCCCAGCAGCATCAAGTTTTGAGAGAAGTAATGTATACAAAATTTTCTTAAAGTGTACATTGACACTATTAAGCTCATCATGTAGTTGATTTGACAGATATGTCAGTCAACTTATGTCAGACTTCTTTTACATTCTAGAAGATGATGCACGAAGGTTGACTCCAGTGGACTGATGTCAAATGACAATACTAAATTAGTATTCTTGGAGCTTATTTGATATTTTACTTTAGGGCTATGAATCCTCTTATGAATGTCTTCGATGTGCTAATGTTATTTCTGCCACCTGAATTACTAGCTTCTCCATTTTCTTCCTTATATGTGAACATATTCTATGTATTTTTTCCACTCTTTCATAATATACTCATGAAGGCCTTCCCAATCATGTCTTAAATCTAACATCACTTGTTAATCCAGTACCAATATCATATGTCTCTATATTGTCACATGGGCAGATATGAGTATTTACTTTCATTAACCATTTTGTAATTATTTGTTCTCAACTACCTTTCTAAATAGTCATGTAACAATCACCTTGATCTATTTTATGTTCTAGTCACTTTTTCTTAAACACATGTCATAGCACATTATTAGACTATTAAAATGAAAATATATTTTAAATAATATTCAACTTAATCTTCTGGCTACTTGTAAAAGAGCTTACAGTGTATTAATATGCGATGAGTATGTGCTTCTTAGAGTTCTTTTAATTATGGACATGTGTTTTGAGATTATATATAACACTAAGAATGGCTGTAGTAAATAGGAAAGAAAGACAAGAGAAGCTTTGGGCTATGAAGGCTAAAGCAAAGAAAATCCACAATTCCTAAATTGGTCAAGTTTTTTCAAAAGGTGTTTTGAAAACAGACACAGACATCAATTGTGTAGGTAATTATTTTCCTGCAGTAATGTTAAAATAAAGGATTACTGTGTTTGGCATACAAATTAGAATTCATTGGATCATAGACATCTTTTTAGATTCCTTTTTGGATTTGAAACAAACAGTGAGGCAGGGTGAACAGAGTGTTTAATGGTGGGTTCTACTAATTGTTTCAACACTTATTGTATAATTATTGTTATTATTATTTGTTGTTGTTGTTCATGCACCTTGAACTCAGAGAGCCTGGGCACTGTCCCTGAGCTCTTTTTGCTCAAGGCTAGTGCTCTACTACTTTGAGCCACAGTGCCACGACCCATTTTCTGGTAGTTAATTGGAGATAAGAGTCCCATGGGGACTTCTCTGCCAGCACTGGCTTTTGAACCATGATCCTCAGATCTCAGCCTCCTGAGTAGCTAGGATTACAGGTTTGAGCCACCTGTGCCCTCTTATTGTATAATTATTAATGTATCATTTGTTTTCTAAATCTGTTTTCTCATCTATAAAGTGAGAGTTTGTAATATATTTTCTGCTCAGTGTAATATTGAACTGAGATAACATGAGATATATCTGATATAATAAATGTAAAGAGAATTAGATATGTGTCATTGAATTATCTACAATTATTATTACAATTATACAGTTCTTTAGGGGGTTTGGTTTGTCTTGATGTTGATAACAGCAATAACACCAATAAACAGCCAAATAAGGAAATAAAGGTTATGTGTGGGTTGCTTGTTTTATTTTCTTATTTTTTTTTGTTTTATGTTTCTCATGTTTCTTCCTCATTAAAACAGTTTTGGTATGAACCATGATGGAATTGGAAATTCTTGTGGGACCAAAGGTCATGAAGCAGCAAAACTTATGGCAGCTCACATTACTGCAAATACCAATCCTTTTTCCTGGTCTGCCTGCAGTCGAGACTATATTACCAGCTTTCTAGAGTAAGTAATCTCTGGAGAGTGATGATAAATTGCTCTAGAAGTAAGCCACTGGTAGAAGCATAATATATAGTGCTTCAACTTTGCATAATGACTAACTTTTATAGAGCCCAGTTATATTTCAGGCTAATCCCTACCTGCTTTAGCATATCATTATGGAAAACTTTTTAGTTCTTACTCAGACAACTTATTGAATAATCAAGAGGAAGTGGAGGAAGTATGTATGTAGGATTGATGATTCAAGTAATTAGCACTTTTCAGTGTATGAGAAGCAATTTCAGAATGAATTTGCAGGAACATAAATAGCAAATAAGCCAAACTTTAACTCAAATGCTTTAAATTTGATGGTATATTCAACCACATTGGTTAAAAACTGGGTTCTGCAGGAGGACAAAGTGTCTAATTGTAACAAACAAGAACAAAACCAAATGAGCCTTTTAAGGAGAAAATGTAAATGACACAACTTTTCTACATTTTGGGGACTTTTTTTTCCTACTTCTCTGGTGTATATTTCAAGAATTTAGTTAAATGTGAAGAAGAGATATAAATGAGAGCAAGTATGAATGTGATGCGCACAGGTATGGCTCTGTTTAGGAAACATGATATTCTCCTACATCTTATCCACATAGAACTTCTGATTTTGACTTTAGAAACTGGTAGACTTTGGTCTTACTAATTGTGTGAGTTTGGGCATATTACTCAACCTTTTTAATCCTTAGTATCCTAGGGTTTTAAGTAAATTTAAAATAATGCTTACATCATGTGTTATGTTTATAATTATATAATGTAAAATGCTGTAATATATTTATGTAACACACTTTATAGGCATTCCTAAAATGATAGTCACGATTATTTTATGTAAGTACAAGGTTTTCTTGCTTTATCATTTCATTATTTCTTTGAACTGTTTTGTGTGTGTTTTTCTTAGATAAGAGAAGTTAAATATGCCTGAAAAAATGAGGCATACATAAAGCACAGACAGCAAACAATGGAAAATCTATTTTTCATTGGCTTGTGGTATAGTTTATATTCACATAATTATATTATAAACATTTGAAACTTCAGGTAGCTTATACCTAATAAAATTATGAATAAAAAATTTCTTCTTATGTATGAATATCCAGATTGTGTATTCTGAAAACTTGTAATCAGTGTTTCAAAAGATCTCAATCAGCCGATTTGAAAATACCTAGCACAGAATTTTACTCAAATTGAAAATGTAAATGTTTAAAATAGTCTCTTGCAATAATAGAGTTGAAGGAATTGGAAATTCATTTCAGAATATACTTCTGAATATCACATTATTTTAATATTTTTAATGTTAGCAACAGAAAATTATAACACTACTTCTAGTGTTAAATCAGATGAAGTATAATTAAAATTAGTCCTCAGAGGAGTTTTTCAATATCTGCTCGTAGTTTGAGTATTGTCATTTTTCTAGGATGGTTTAAATGCAATAATTTACCTAATTTTTAAACATTATTGAAAGTCCTCTATTCACAGAAATCTAACCACTCATGAAATTTCTCTATTGATTTGACTCACATTTTTATAGTAGTATGTTAATCTCTGTCATCAGAAAGATGAATTATAATATGCTCAGGATTCTTATGTATTTTCGATGGCAACCCTTCTCTTGTTTATTAAAGTATGACTTCCTTTTCTCTTGTGTCCTGTTTCTGTTTCACAGGCATATATTGCTCATTAGTTAGTGCCTTCCCTATATACTAAATATAAGAGCCAGAGTCTAATACTCTCATGCTGTAAATATTAGCAAGTTGTATATATTCTTTTCCATATTAAAAGTACATAGATGGCTGAGAGATAGTGGCTCATGCCTGTAATCTTAGCTACTAGGAGGCTGAGATCTGAGGATGGAGGTTTGAAGCCAGCCAGGGCAAGAAAATCCTTGAGACTCTTACCTCCAAATAACCACCAAAAAAAGTGGAGCTGTAGTTTAAATGGTAGAGTGCCAACCTTGAGCAGAAAAGCTCAGGGACAGAACATAGGCCCTGAGTTCAAGCCCCAGTCCTGGCATACACACACACACACACACACACACACACACACACACACACACACACACACACACACGTCACAAAGTATATACATGTATATATATATATATCTGTAAAAGAACCAATTTTCATTTTCTTGCCAAGTCTTGTATAGTTGAAATAGTTGAAACCATATTGTGGCTAAGACACTACAAAAAGGAATCTCTAAATATTTGGTAAAATACAGTTAAGAAATCAACACTGGTTTAAAGAAAGATGTAAATTGTTACTAGTTGCAATATTATTGCTCCATTGAATTAAATTAATGAAACAGCATTATTTAATCCTTATTGCTTCTCTATATTTTGTATATATAATCATGATTAGCTTTAATGGGGTTCTGATGGTCTTATCTACCCTGTATCTCATGGAATTCCTCATGGGAATGCATACTAAGTTGAAGCCAGTAATCAAAGAATAAATATGAAAGAAAATGGATAGAGACTCTGGGAAAAACTGGTATTTCCCCATTTTTTAAATAATTTATTAAACAAATGTGATTATAATCTTTCTAAACCATAAAAGTATTTAAAGGTCCTTTAAAAAGATCAGCTCACTGGAGCACAAAGATGTAATAGTAACTTACTTGATTCATTGTTTCCCTTTATTGATACAATGAACTAAATTGCTTTAACAGCTACAAGTGATATTTTTGAAAAGCCAGTGATATTCTGATTAAAGATTGAGGTTCTATTTATATTTTGTAGTTGGAGCAAAAAGGTTCATAATACTATTTTTTTAGCTTCTCAAGAAAAAGAAACCATGAAAGATAAATTGATCAGGAACTGTATATAGCCTACCCAACAAAATGCATACCTTTCTCTACTTAGTGACTTGTATAGGCCAAAGATGATGGTGGGTTTAACATTGAGCTTTCTATGATTTATAGAGATTCACTCTATGTTCAACTGAAAAAAGTTTCCATGGCCAATGCCAGTAGAATACAAAGTCTCTCATGTCATTCTGAAACACTAGGTGCTACTGATCAATCAGGAGATGGTGTTTACCAACTCCCAATATTTTTTTTCAGATTTCTTATACTCGGTGATTCAATAAGTGGTTCATGAATCGCCCAGAAGCCGTCCTGATTAAATAATAAAGAACCCATTTCCGTTAAAATGGACGTGTTATTCCAGCTTCTGATGACGACGGCTTTGCAGGTAGTGTCCTTCCTATCTGCCTGCGGGACTTTTTTATTTACTTACTTATTCATTTAGAAAGTAGAGAAAGATGAACCTGGTATTCTGGCTCACATTCACTGATGACTATGGGCAAATTTACCAGGCATAGAGGGCAGCCAGCACTACTTTAGACTAGGTTTTCAGGCATTCCCCACCACATAGCAGCAGTACAGAATAATTGCATAACATGTCTTAAAAAATTATGGGGGCTCTGCGAACCAACTCTTGTGTTATTTAAGTTAAATCTGCTAAACTGAAAATTTCCTACATTACCAAGTTGAATACAGAGTAGTCGTGTTCAGGAAGTATGAAAACTGAATGTTATAGATCAAATGTGAACTACGAAGATAAGTGAGAGTAGAGTTATAAGAGAAATAATAGAAGATGGACAAGATGACTCAAACACTCATTTTCCTCTCTAGAAATTGCTTTTGAAGGTCAACATCAATCCATTAGGTTGAAAATAATCTTTGAAGATGGGACCTTTCTAATACACGTATTCAAGAAGCAGCTTGGCACAACAAGTTTTTCTTCTATCCATTTATCTGAGTGACACATTTTGGGAACCTTGCCCTAACTGTGTATATCTATATATCTATATAGATACCTATCTATATGGAGAGATATATATCTTTGATAAGTCGTAATTGCATATGGAGGAAAAGAGAGGAAGCCACGTTAAGTACAAAATTGAAGCCTCAATTTCCATTATACTTGTACTTCTCTGTCTTAGAGAGGGTTAAAGAAAAAGGTTTCACTTTATATAATACATTTAGGGTTTACATTTGCCTAAATGTATTTTTATATGAGAACATAGGAGGTACAGGTATGGGACTTGCTATAGATGATATCAGCTTAATTCATTTTTATTTAATTTATATTGTGCTTGTATTACTTTGTAGAGAAAAGGGAGGAACATTCAATGTTATCTTTTTGTTAAGGGACTGTTAAAATATGAACTGTTAAAATATGACTGTTAAAATATGAACAGTTGTATAGAAATATTTCTATTCAGACTATTCCCTATATTACAGATATGAATTGTCTCTCTGACTTATAGTCTGATTGTTTTAGTAAAAACCAACTTAACTTTTAGTTAGGATTCTGTCCTCATGTTCTGGAAAGAAAGCCAAGAAGACTTACTTACATAAGGATCCATAAATTTTAGTTGAAGAGCTTGCTCATGTTCCTAATTCCAACTTTTTGTATCATGTAAATAAAATACCTCTAAATTAGAAGTAAAATACCTAAAATGTGATTATCCCATCATACTGCAAAGATTTTTGGAAATATGAATAAATACATACTTTATTATGAATTACATAGTGTAGAAAGAAGTGTGTTTTTAAACTAATACTTCTTTTTTTGTAGTGTTATTTTTTTCTTATTTTTTTATTGTGAAAATACTGTACAGAGGGGCTACAATTACATGGGCAAGATAATGAGTGCATTTCTTATCAAGCATGGTAGCCTCCTCCTTTGTTTTCCCTTCCCATCCCATCTCCCCCCCCCCACCTCCCCCAACTAATACTTCTTATTTCAGAAGCACAGATAAAAATAGAGCTTATAAACTCAATAATTATATGTATATATGTAGATGTTGGCTGAAGTTGTCTTTCTTAGCAATGAAACTAGAAAAGCCCTCTAGAGTTCAACATCCATCTCTCAGACCCATTTTCTCTATCTTCTGTATTTACATCTGTGTGTCTCAGAATGATGTTGATAACTTGAAGTCATGAGTATCTAAAATTACTATTTTAAAGATTTAATTAATGATGATTGTGGTCTATAGACTTTACTTACTTGACAGTTGTAGGAAAAGTGCTAGGAAAGTGAAACACCAATTTTAATATTAAAAAAGTATATTTTGTTTAACCTCAGTTAAGAATTAAAATATGAAAATCATTCCTTTCCTCAAATATACTAGTCTAGGCTTCACTATATTTTTGAAAATGATTGCTAAGAAAAAGTACTATATATTCATTAAGAATGTATAGTAGGGTGCTTTCTACACATTCATGCTTGTAATCCTAGCTACTCAGGAGGCTGAGATCTCAGGATCATGGTTCAAAACTAGCAAAGCAGGACAGGTTGCAAGACTATTATTTCCAATTAACCACCAGAAAACTGGATGTGGAGCTGTGGCTCAAAGTGATAGAGCCATAGCCTTGAATAAAAGAGCTCAGGCCCTGAATTCAAGCCCCACAGTGGGGTGGGGGTGGGGGACGAATGTATAGAAATAATTTCAATCAGACATAAGATATCTCTAACACCTTACTTGTAGGATTCTTGAATTAACAAGCCTTGCTAATTTGTACAACATAGCTAAGAATTTTTCAAAAGACCTTTAATGGGATGATGTTCCTAGATGTAGGTTCATTTTTAGCAGGTCCGTATGGTTTGCTTTTATATCTCATTTCATATGCTATGTTACTCTTCTGCAACATATATTAGAGAAAGAGAACAAGACTTGTTTAGCTATTTATACCACATTTATGCAAAAGAAATAGGTGCTTTTGGACTATAGAAATAAAATTATATTTGTGATAAACCTCAGAATTGATTTGGCCCTAGGTGCCCAGAGTTCATGGCATTCTTGGTAGTCTGAAGACTCTTGCAATGATCATCTGATTTTTTTTAAAGAATATGAGCTAAGATTAGAAGAGTATTAATACATTGAAACAAGAATGTTAAATGAAGAAATTATTCTTATTTCCTCCTGGCTTATGCCAATTTTGCAATCGGAAAAGAATTAGTATATCAGTATATCTTGCTTTGAATTCTCCTTTGGGGTCTACATAATTCTTCCTCCTCTAATTTTCTGTATCCCTGAAATTAATTATATCTAAAAATTTAGTAGATTCTGAATTGGTGCTCTTAGGTGAATATTTTCTATCCTTTTTTTGTTATGCTGTTGGTAAGTATTTCCTACAAGTTACTGCACTTCAATTCTTTTGTTCACATTTTAAACACTTTCTATTGATTTATATGGAACTTAAGTTTATTATTGCATATTTGATGCCTTTCACAAATTTATTTATAGCTTTATTATAGATGGAAAGAAAACTGATATGTTAGAAGGCACATTTGGGAGATAAACAATTTATTCAGTTAGTCCGCCAATATTTTATATTATTATTAAAATGATCTTTTTTCTATTACATTACTCAAATATGACTTCTTTATCAGTAACCTCAAAGTATCATTTTAAATTTATATAGATTTACATTTGCTGAACGTTTACATGGAAATCACTGGTTATTTTTAAAAAGTCACCTATAAATAATTTAATTGATGAGGCAGATGTCAATTTCTAAAACTGTCATAAAAATGAAATAAGTGTTCTGTCATGAAAATGGAATAGCTGGGGGAACAGCTGTTCTCTGTTAGCTATCTTGAGTGGTGATGACTGAAATGATTGTAACAGCCAGTAGTAAAATCCAAATATATGGGTGTGATATCTAAGTATCCCATCTTAGTATTTTTATTAAATATTTTCTTTAAAAATTAGTCAAGAGGAGCATAAATGAAAGAAAAATGGTATAAAGAAAACATTATTTTATCTCTGGTCTTTTGAATCTATCTAATTTTAGAATAGTTTGATTCTCTTTTTTAAAGATATTTATTTGCTGCAATACAAAGAAATGTTCTTATATAACAAGTGAACTTTTATACTTAAGAACATGAGAAATACTGTGAATATGAAATAAGTGAATATGAAACTTGTCATTATACAAGATTCTTTTTTACCTATCTATAAATGAACATTTTCACTGTTCTAAATAACAGTTGAGGAACTTTTACTTGTGAAATTATTTTCCTTTGGCAAAGTGGATGGAAAAGATTTTGGGAAAAAAAACACAAGTGCTGGCACAATGGACAAGAATGTTGGAAAAAATTTTCAAATGTTGGCATAGTGATTCTTAAAAATTCTAACTTACATGTGAAATGAAAGTAAAAAAGCATCTGTCCTATTTTATGCACATTGACTAAATAAAAATGAACAATTATATTTAGCAGAGTTTAAAGCTCTTTAAGCTAAGGTATTCTGTCTGGCTTTTGGTGATTTTATATGTTATTTGTTCCACTGAGTTAAATTATTATGTTTGAGTACAGGCATATTTGTAGAGCAGAAATTATATAGAGAGAAGAACATTCTCTTTTCCAATTCTGATGACCTTAGATGAAATATGGAATTTTTGAAAGATTAAACATCCTAATATAGTTGAGAGAAAAACCTTGGATCTTAGCCTGTCATTTAGCCCATTTATTAGTGAAGCACTTCAAGAACCCACTGACATGAGTTACCACAGGTCTATTGTTCTGCCCAAGGTGAAGGTATATAAATTAGATCTTTAAGGATTACAATTGTTTTTCAAAAACGGTCCACATTTCATGTTTTTAATTCTACTACCAGATGTGGCTATATTTTCAATGAAAACAAACAAGCGGCTTGGAGCAATGTGAAATTCCATTTTGATTTCTCCAGAAATTAGTTTAAATCAGTGTTTTAAAGCCCAACATGAGTTCTTCAGATTGTTGTCTGAGATGCTTTTGTTGTGTCTTGGGACTGGAAAAAAATGACTAGAGGCTTTTCTTTGAGCTTCAGTAAAGCTTCTTTATTTTGCCACATGATTATTTATTGATACAAGATATTATTTTCATGCAACATATGATTGAAACAAAGATCTCAAGACATGGTTTCATTTTGATGACTGAAGTGGTCCACAGAATACCTAATTTCCTTTGATCCTTTATGTTGAACAGTTCAGGCCGTGGTACTTGCCTTGATAATGAGCCTCCCAAGCGTGACTTTCTTTATCCAGCTGTGGCCCCAGGTCAGGTGTATGATGCTGATGAGCAATGTCGTTTCCAGTATGGAGCAACATCCCGCCAATGTAAATATGGGGTAAGAGGCCTTAATCCTTACATTCAGTCATTGATATATGTTTTTTTTATGGCACAAATATGTACATGGAATTATGGTTGAACTTGGATTGTTTCCAGTGACGTTGACTTCAATATTTTTTACACTGCTTTTTTTCTGATATCATCTCATATCTATTTTTGAAATATTTGACTACTTCCAAGATTAAATAAGTTTCAATGTTTTGGGGGGAGGGATCAAGTAGAATTTGAATGAGTTTTTATGTTTTGTTTGTTTGCTTGTTTATGATGCCAACTCTGTCTTTCGAAATGCTGGGTTTTAATAAAAGTCTTGCCTACTCCCCATTTCTGGGTACACTCATAATTGGGCTAAAGGGCATTTGTCATTGGCTGTGTTCTTTTGCCTGAATTCATACTAGCTAGAACTGAATCACTGCAGGTTGCTTCATCCACTGCCCACATTCCAACATGACAACCAGGCAGGAACAACATAACATTAACTCCTTTAGCGAACAAGAAAAACTGCTGTGGAAAAAGGATGTAAGCATCAGAACTGACTTTTCACATCTGCCTAGAGCCATCACAGTGTCTATACTAGAAAACATGAAAATTCTTTTAAATTTTACCTGGAAAGATTTTAGTGTCTAGTGTAGGGAACTCTTATTGTAGGTATGTAATATGTAATCTAAGCATGTTGAATAAAACAAGAATAAGATTTTAAAATGTCAAATTGTGTGCCAAAAATGTTCAGGTTAAAAAAAATAAGTCTAAAGAGTCAGAGTTTTTTTTTTTTTAATTTTTTTTTGTACAAGTCCTGGGCTTTGAACTCAGGGCCTACGTGCTGTCCCTGAGCTCTTTTGCTCAAGGCTAGTGGCTTACCACTTGTGTCAGAACTCCACTTTCTAAGTTCCTGTTGGATGCAAAGTTTAAATTTTTTTTAACATTAAACACAGCAAAAAATAAGAATTAAGTTTTAAAGTAAGCAACATTGAACAATATCCTCATTGTACTGTACTAATCACTCTCCTGGGTTACAGTACAAAAGGAAATGATTCTATAAATAACTCTTGGGTGAAAAGTTTATTATTACTTTTGGTAGGCTGACAGTACATTTTGTACATTAGATTTTTAAAGACTGTGTGTGAATATCTGAATATGTGATCCTTGAGTAAAACTTTCATCTTTCCTTTCTATTTGCAGTCTTTTATTCTTATTTCTGTATGGCTCTAGTTTTTTTTTTTATAGATTGTTCTCCAAAGAAAGGACCACCAAACTTTAATTACTTGAAATTCTTTTTATTTTTATTTTTTGTCTGTCATGGCACTTGAATTCTGGGCCTGGGTACTGTCCCTGAGTTCTTCAGCTCAAGGCAAGCACTCACCACTTGAGCCACAGTGCCACTTCGGTTTTTCTGGTGGTTAATTGGAGATAAGAGTCTCACGGACTTTCCTATCCGGGCTGACTTGAACCTCAATCCTCAGATCTCAGCCTCCTGAGTAGCTAGGATTACAGGTGTGAGACACTGGCACCCAGTGTACTTGAAATTCTTAATAAAATGATATTAGAAATGCTTTATGTCTCTCATTTCTTTATTTCCCCCATTGGAAATTGAATCTTAAGTCCACCTTCAAATTTCCATCTTAGATGATTTATATTTTTGTGATTTATACAATCTGTAGTTTTCTTTTTTGAATAAATTAACTTAAAAATTACTTGATTCCTCTTACTTTAGGTATATATCATTCATTTCAGAGTGATTAGAAATGAGACAAATAAAAAATTGTATTTTCCTTAATTCTGCTTTGAGATGTTTCTCTGTGTTATAGTTCTAAAGACATTTGGAACATATATAAAATAACATTGGGAAACTTGGTGAAAGACAATAGCCTATTACAAACCTATGCAAATTCTTATATTTTATCATGAATCCTTTTTGCTTTTATGACTTTTACATAAAGATGGTTTTTGTAGCCCTATGTATTCTTGAAATTCTTATATTTTAAAAAGTTCTATGTATTAATTATAAGTTTTCTTGCTGCTGGTTCTACTCCTCCTTCCCTTACTTCCTCCTGACCTCTTCTTCCTCATTCCTCCCTCTCCCTTTTTCCTCCCCTCCCTTTGTCTTCCTCCTTCTCTTTTCTTACTGGTGCTAGAACTGAGGGCTTCATGCTCATGCTCACCTTGCTTGCTGACAGCTTGAAATCTACCACTCAATTCATGCCTCCAATCTGGCATTTTGCTGAATAGTTGGAAATGGAATCTCAAAGACTTTTCTGCCTGGGCTTGCTTGGAACTACATTCTTCTGATCTGAGTAGCTATGGTTTCAGATGAGGGCCACTGGTGTGCAGTGAGTCATAGCATTCTTTACAATCATGCTTACATCTTCAACTTGTTCCTAAACAACAACCACAAACCCCCTGAAAACACCAACAAAACAACATTTTTTTGTGTGTGTGTTTTAATTTCCAAATGTACATTTGTTTTTATCTGGCAAATCCTTAAGGTTTCAAACAATTGTAAATACTACTTTAGAAAACAATTGTGGCTTTGAATATGGAAGTCTAGTTAAGTAAGCAAGACATACAATAGTTGGTAATGAAGGAAAAAAATAAACCAGCCCTGATTTAGATAGCTCTCTGAGTGTAGTGTGAGGAGATGAATTTGAAATACAATTTCTGTGTGAACAGTATATCCTTTTCAAGAGGATACTGAGGAATCACAGAATGATTTGTTTCAAAAACAAATTGCTAATGGTATCAGAGATTCAACAACTATAGGATATTCCATAGCTGTACCTAAAGTTACCAGCTTTTTATGTTTTATGGTTTGGTCATCGTGTGGTCATGGCTGGCTAACTGCTGGGTTTCTGACATTTCTTGCCTGATTTTTAGCATAATCTTAGAAAGTGGGACAATCTATGTAGATGTAAGTTACACTGAAACGTTCTCTATTTTATCTTACTTGGAGCAACATTTTCCATTATTATCCTTGCATATCATCTATTTTTATTTCTCCAATATTCTTAAATTCTAGTAGACCAGAAAGAAAAGTATAATGACTGTAACTATAAACAACAGAACAGTAAAGTGTATCATATAAAGTAATTTATTTCTGTAATGTAGTAACTTGTAAATGATACATAGTCTCTGGTAATTGCATAGTATCTCTTTTTTCTGAGATTCTTCAAACTGTATTGATGAAACCCATAATTCCCTTATAATGTTTTACACATTGGAGAAACTAAGCATACAGAATGTTATTTTGCCCACTGCATGGTCAAAAAATATAGGTGTAAATCTGCTAGTTCTGTTCCTTCTAGGTATAGTTGTTATGTTACTAAAATGAAGACAGTGGGTGTATTTTGCTCCAAAGACCCATATATAGTTTTCATCAGGAATATATCGCTTGCATTGCTATAAGCAAACTCCTCATTGTTTTAGTCTCTTTTGGAAGAGGTGATCAGGAGACCTGCTCCAGACTAATCTGAGTGCAAGAATTGAGTCCCATCTCGTGTTCCCACCACTCCCCCCCACCCCACCCCTCCACCTCAGGTAGACTTTTTTTGCATGCTAGGCAGAAGCTCTATCACTTGAGCCATGGCCAGCATCAGACTGTGATTCTGGTACCTATGGTTTCCAGTGTAGCTAGGATTATTAGTGTATTCTACTATGTTTGGCTTGCTGATTGAAATGGGGGTGTGACTTTTTGTACTAGCTAGCCTGAAACTAAGATTTTTCTGATCTCTGCCTTCTAAATAATCACGGCCCCAAATGATTTTTTATATAAAATGTTAGTTAATGCATTTGTATATACTTGCATACCACCCAACATATTTATTTAAAAGTTTTTAACCTAGTCTACCTTCCACATATAAGGGAAAACATACATTCTTTGTCTTTCTGGGCCTGACTTACTACATTTAATATAAATTTTTCCAAGTCTTTCCATTTCTTTACAAATGATACAATATCATTCTTCCTAAAGATCAGTTAAATTTCACTGTGTATATATACATTTTCTTGATCAGTTCATCTGTTCAGGGGCATCTGGGTTGATTCTATAACTTAGCTATAGTGAATAGTGGTGCAGTGAACATAGTTGTACTGGTGGCTTTACCGTATCCTACTTTGTAATTTTTTGGATAAATGCCAAGAAATGGGATTGCTGTATCATCATAGGGTAGTTCTATGTTTAGTTTTTTAAAGTTACCTTCATACTGCTTTCCAGAATGCTTGAACAAGTTTACATGCACACTGACAGTCTAATAGGGTTCCCTTTTACATGCACACTGACAGTCTAATAGGGTTCCCTTTGAACCACATCCTTGCCAGCATCTGTTGTTGTTATAAGGGAGAACTCAAATCGTTTAATTCCTTAGAAAGGCCAAAGCAAAGTTCAACGAAACAAACTCCTGAAAATGGGCACTTGAAAGGTGTGGAGTCATGGGGAGAAGGAGAGATGAAGAGGAGAATAAGAGGCCATGCAGTTAAGAATTTAATGAGTTATCCTACAAAATTAAGAAGAGTGAGAGAAGGAGTAGGTAGGGGAAGGATGGGTGAGAATATTGAAAAGGGTGACATTGATCAAGATGCATTATATTCATATATTGCTTTGTAAAATGGCAACTCCTTTGTACAACAGCTTAAAGATAATAAAAGTTATATGCGGATCAGCCAGTCAGCATTTCCCATAAAGGAGAAAACAATAAATATTTTGAAGACCAAAAAAAAAAAAGTTATATGCAAAGATACTGCTATGGGGGTTGGGAAGGCTGCTCAGTGGTAGAGTGCTTGCCTTGCGTGCATGAAGCCCTGGGTTTCATTCCTTAGCACCACATAAGCAGAAAAAGCTGGAAGTGGCGCTGTGGCTCAAGAGAGTGCTTGCCTTGAAATGAAGAGCTGAGGGACAGCGCCCAGGCCCAGAACCGAAACACACACACACACACACACACACACACACACGCACGCATGCACACACACGATCCTGCTATACTAAAAAAAAGTTAGAAATTCTTAATAATT